CAGATGGCCTGCCACGTGGCGAACACGTGGTGAGCACGTGGGACCTCCTAAGTGGCGTCCTCCTTTCAGACTGCAGTTGGACCTCAATGGTGTGGGCCGGGAGGTTCTCGTTGTTGGGGGTCGTGGTTGGAGATTTCTATTGATATGCTCTTGTGAAGTTAGTTCGTCTCCAACCGCCTGCCCTGGTTGTCGAGATACAAGTAGCACAATTGGCGGCATTTTTACGGGTGGAATCTCCAGAGGGACCGGAGAAGGGACTTGAACGACGAAGCCAGTAGCCTCGAAGCCACGGACCTCGAAGCCACGGACCTCGAAGCCACGGACCTCGAAGCTGCCGTGCATCCGTGCTCCACCGAGACGGAATGGAAGTCCGCCCTTTGTCAGATACAATGGCACAAGCCATCGCTCTTGGTGCCATCGAGATACCGTTCAAATGGGTGGGGAAAATAATTGTATGGTGAAAGGAGCGGATGGCGATAGGACTATCAAAGAGAGCATCGTCCCCGTGCAAAGGCAGTTAACAGGGACGGCGAAAACGAAAGTTGCTCTCTGACTATCCATCAATCATGAATGCCGTCATGCGATCTGGTTTTTCCCCGGTTCAGGAAATGGCATTACCAGGAACGGTTTCTTCCTGAAGTGCGAAATGCGACCGAAACTCGAGGGTCTGCAGGGCATCTTCCCCCAACAGAGTCACTGGCGAACGACAAAAATGAAAATGCATCGGTAATGGCGATTCCAGGTCATCCTCTAGTAGCTCGTACGAGACTACTGAGATTCGGAGTGACTTTGCTGCACTAAAACTTTGTAAAAACTACATATTGAGTCATAAATCCCATGGGAAAAATGAGAAAGTTTCCATTCTGATTCCCAGCGTCTATCATCGCACCGTACAAAGCCGTTTCTGTATTCGAGTTCAGAATTGGGGAATCTGCGAACTTTGCTACTCTTGGCCGAACCAATGGCTTTACTCCAAGCTTTTTTTAATTGTAACTTTGGTGGAACACTCGCTCCCACCTAGTCCAAGCAGAAAGTCCAAAGATAGACAAAGGTAACGATACTTATCTTCCCCTTTGACAGCAATAAGCCCGAGACTCACTTTGCATTGGGTTGAATGGTTTTCAATTGAAAATGGTTTTTCATGCGGCACTTTTTAGGTTATAGGTTCCCGCAGCGTTTCATATCGCTCAGTGGGATTGGGTGCAGGATTCGTGCAGGAAGAAATCTCGAACTCCCCAGTTTAATGGATTGGGATCGAACCACATCCGTCCATGTCTCACCCTTCCAGTGCTGCCATCTGCCATTTTCATCTTATTTCTATGCGACGAAAGGCGAATGGACCAATGGAGGACGAATGGAGGGATGGAAGGTAGATGGATGGAGGGATGGAAGATAGATGGATGGAGGGATGGAGGGTAGATGGAGGGATTCGCCTGACAGCCTTTATGCGTCTGTCTTCCGCTTTATCTCTTCGTCTTTTCGCGTTTCCGTCTGCTGTCTGGGTGGCCGGATGTCAGAGGGAGGCTTTCCCGCCCCTTTCTGGAGAATTCTTGAGAAATTCTTTAAATTGCACCTCAGTTCGAAGCGCTAAGCTCTTTAATTCTCCATATTACCAACATTGCGTCAAAGCAGATTATTTGCAAACCCCCCCACATTAGCGAATATGGAAATAGGGCGACATCCCTCTGTAATACCAGAGCACATCAGGATCTCGAATGCCCAGGCACGCGATTCCATTTCCTTCGAGCAAGCGAGCGCATGCACAAGGGGCTAGGACTTGCCCAAGGAAACGTCGTTGGACACGCCATGTACATACCCGAGGCAAGTCTCTGCGAGGACATGCAAGAATCTTGTATCCGTGCCTTGGAGCTTTTTTTCTTTAGCCATCGCATCACGGCGATTCCTGTTTTTGAGCTTGCGCATTTCCAGCTTCTCCATGGGGAAAAACTGCCCATCGATCGGATATCAATCGTTCGTCAATCGATGCTGAAATTGATCCACTCCCAGAAATAGTCGAATCCAGCAATGTTTGCCCTATGTTTGTTGCATTGCAAAACCACGAAAATGTTCGGCCTCTTAGTCTAATCATCCATCTGAATCAGAAACATTTCAATTGAAACTACAAAGATATGCTAATAGTGAGAGAAGTGGTATGAAAGGACAATGATGCCGTTAAGCTATGAAGTGATCATATTGATCCGACTATAGATATGCTGGTTTCCTCAATGGTCCCCTAAGGCATTTCATGCTGAAATTGCTATTGCAAGAGACAGTTTCTAGAGTGAGGATGAAAATATTCTAAAATTACTCGTCTTTGTCGCCCTGACATCACTCACGGCAGAACTGACATGCGACATCATGACATCAAGCGGCGGGGAATGCCCGGCATTGCAAAAAGCACGTCGGCACGCCGGCTCGTGTGCACGCCGGCACGTTGGCACGCCGGCACGCCGCCTTGTGTGCACGTCGGTCCAGTCTCTCCGATGAACTCGAGTGTCCAGAAACCACAAAACAACGTGATGGGGTTTGCTCTTCGACTACCACGCAGTTCTGAAATTTGCATTCCATGTTTATTTTGATACGTGTATCAACTGGACGTAGCTGTGTCTAATAAATAAAAAAATAAAGAAGAGGAAGAGAAACTGCCCAGAGGAGTTTTCCAACAGTGGCGAAATATCTCGCCTTTCCCCCGCCTAAATAATCAAACGCATTTCGGGATGGAAAAAATGAGCACTCGAGCTTCTTCTCGTCCTCCTCCACGTGCAGACCTCCTCGCTCGCGACCTCGGACTGGACAGCAGGGAAAACTCCCCGTCCTAACCCGCGGAGGGATTGGACGGAACTTGGAGGACGACAGAACTTGACTCAGCGGGCACCAGATGTCTCTCGCGATGGAATGGAGGTCCACGTCGGTCGACCGGAAGCAGTAAGGAATTCTTTGTGTCCATTTGTGGGTCCACAGAAAGCGTCGGAATAATTCCTTACGTTTCGTTCCGTGCTCTTTTTTATCTCTGTCGGTCTTTGAACTCGGGGATCGGGATCCAAATTTGGAATTTATCGGTCTTATCATGATCACATGAAGGCCTGTCAAATGAATCAAGGGAACCAACAGAGCAGTAAAATTGTGGTACTTGCAGCCTCAGGCAGTCCTCGTCTCTACCCTCCCCTCCCCCCTACCCCTTCCCCCTCCTCCCCCCTCCCCCCTCCCCCCTCCCCTACCCCCAACACAGGGAGTGCAGTATTTCAAAACGAGAACGATGGGTATCGTATATGACAGCACCATTTGTTATGGACAAATGATTGAACCCAGGACTCCCCTCCCGGAGAGGCAAACTTTTTTCCGGTAGGTAAGCTGTCACCCATTTCTAAACCGTTATAAATTTCTCTGGTCTCCCTGCACAACGAGCTTTTTGTTGCCAATGGGGAGAAGTTCCAGCGGTGTCACGCGAGAGCATCACTCACGCGAGAGCTTCGCTCACGCGAGAGCTTCGCTCACGCGAGAGCTTCGATTCGGTCCGGGCCGACGGCCTAATCGGGACACATTAATTCGATGTTCCCTAATGGAAGAGAACTGGTTTATCGCCCGAAAAATAAACTGGTTTATGACCCTTTTCCTTTCGTTTCGGCGATTTCTCTCCGAGGGAAAAACTGGTCCGTCTGCTCATCCCACTTTTTTTAGTATCGAAAGAAGAAGGTCATTAGAGCCTTATTTATGGGTTCGTTTCAGTCGAGCCTCGACAAATATTTGCGATCTATACCACAAATGGTACAGATTGCATGGTAATTAATTTTAAAAAAAAGGCTATAGAATAATTTTATGAACGGTTTGTCGTTGTTCGTGCCGAACGGAAGTCATGAACCGGTTCGTGAAAGGGCGGGAAGAAAACTCATGACATCTCGTGATTATCGCATGATAGAAAAGGCACGATGAGCACGACACGCTCCGACGCATGGAAGACGACATCCCTCTTGACATCCAACAATGACATCCTGCAATGACATCCCGCAATGACACCCCAAGTCTGATCGCTGCTTCAAATCGCCATCGGCATCCATCGACCCCCATCGGTCATCATCGTAATTGCGGGTTCGATTGAGCCATCGGCGGTCTGCTCTCGAGCCGCCTTCGAAGATCTGCTCTCGAGCCGCCTTCGACGGTCTGCTCTCGAGCCACCCTCCACGTTCTGCTCTCGAGCGATGGCCTGAAATAGCCGGGTGTTTCCTCCAGACCATCACGTGATTCGAGCCGACGTCGGGATATTACGGGGATTCGCACTTGGGCCGATGCCAGAAATCAAAGCATCATTATTTACTCTTTTTTTTTTTAGCGGTACAATGGGTCGTACGCTTTTTTTTCCCCCCTTTTGTTGATCCACACTTTCTCTCTCTCTCTCTATTTTTATTTTTATTTTCAAAGAATAATGAGGCTTTGTGGTCAGAACGACTTCGTTTAGTCTTTCGTTCGGCAAAAACCTGGGTGGGAAATTTATGAACCAGATGGTGATGATGAGCCAGATGGTGTTTGAGGAGGTCGCGAAAATTTCCTTCGTCGCCAAAAATCCACCGAAGAGAAATTTGCGGTTTGTCGGTGCTTCTCGGAGCAAATGGGATGTTTGGTCACACGTTTGGTCGCATGTGCTGAAACGGCACATGTGACGGTCACAAACCCCGAGAGGAAAAAAAAAAGAGTTGGATATTGCTATATATTCATTTGTCATTAAATCGTAACATTAAATACAATCAGTAAATCGACAACTGAAAATTATTTTTGCTCAGCGGATCGCAAGATTAAAATATTTCATCAAGATTCTAAATCGAATGAGGGAAAAAGAAACTGAGAAGGGGGATCCGGAGTCCGTCCTTGAACACCTTAAACACCTTAAACACCTTGAACACTTCTGACTAGATAATCGACGGCCAAGGGCGGTTGTGCTCTGACTAGACGATTCCGACGATTTTGATCCGAAGCATGGTCACCGAGCATGGGCACCGAGCACGGTCTTAGTCCCTGAGAAGCATGGGCTTGGCGAACGCAGGGACATCGAAGGAGAATTTGGGCTCCTGGCGAGTCAAAAGAGCATGCTTCTCGCGACTGAGATTGGGCGTGTCGGGTCGGTCGGCCCAGTGCAACACGATTTCCTGGTCGGAGGGGCACGTCTTCACGAACGCGTCGTTGGAGTACGCGGCGTGCAGATACCGCCAGATCCCGCTGAGTCCGCTCGAGAGTTGAAACCCTTTCAACGCGGCGAGGGCGACTCGAAGGTGGTGGAGTTTCGGGAGGACCTCGCAGTCCAGGTGGCACAGGTCGTCGGAGCGGACGAACCGGTGCTTACCGCGTTGCAGGTAGGCGTCGAACCGCTCGAGTTCCGTCCGCAGGGGGCCGGAGTCCTTGCTCACCTCCTTCACGAAGAAGCAGAAACGGGAGAAGAGATTCTTGACGGCGATCTCGGCCTCGGGGTCGTCGCACGACAGGTCGGGCTTCGGCCAGTGCGAGTCGACGTAAGCGACGATGTCGTCCGGGGTGTCGAGTCCCTGCTCCCCGTCCCATATCGCCGGGACCCGCGAAAACCCCCGACTCCTGAAATCCTTCGGCGGACGCGCCAGATTCACGTAGACGACCCCGAACTTGAGTCCCTTGAGGTGCAACAGCAGCAGACACCGTTGACAGAACGGACACGCACCGCCACTTTTCCCGTCGAAGCCCGCTTTCGCATAGAAGACCAACTCATCCTCTGACATCCTAATGAGCGGAGAGAAAACGAGGGGAAGGGAAAAATGCGAGCGAACCGTTGCATGGAGTGCGTGATAGCGGGACGCGGAAACCGCCTCGGGCTACCATAGAGATGCACAATGCACGTGACCTTCCCGATTCCCCCTCGCGAACTGAAAAACGCCTTTCTCTCCCCCTCCGTCCTCCCTCTCTCTCCCTCTCTCTCCCTCTCTCTCTTCCCACTGCGTCGCTGGACTATTTTCGGCGTCGGTTCCTGGCACGTGCCCATGCACTGCGATTTCCCCCCATCGACGCCTCTCACGCAGTCACGCCCTCCGTCCACCCACTAAACCTCCATCCGAAACGATAAATATAGCATATTCGGGGGAGGAGGGGGAGGGGGGGGGGGGGGGGGGGGGGGGGGGGGGGGGGGGGGGGGGNGGGGGGGGGGGGGGGGGGGGAGGGCAGGTGCTGGGGTGAAAGATCGCTTGCAGTCGTCTCTCTTTCCTCGCGGTGATCATTCAAGATGCGAAGGTGAGCTTTGTCTTGTAGCGTGGAGCTTCTTTTCCCTGGAACATCGGTTCATTTGTTACTTGCTGGCGCTTTATCGCCTCCTTAAGGGGTCCGGTGAAGGAAAGGAAACTGCGAGGGATTTCCGACCGGTCGTCCTTGGAAGAGGAAAAGCCGAGACGGAAGCAGTCGCTACTCCCTCGTCAGATTTCCCATGTTCGTCGGAATTCTCGCGGAATTCTCGCGGCTCGAGTGGAATCGCGCTTCCGTGAAGATTCGGAGGAAATGCTCGATTGCGACTCGGATTGCGACTTGGCGACCGATTGCGTGTCGCGATCGCGGCTCGGAGGATCGGCGAACGGTCGCACGTCAGAGAATGGGAGCTAACGAAGGGAGCCATCTGCCTTTCTCTGGAATGGCAGTTGGCTGCCTTCATTAGCTGCTTTCAAGAAAGGGGAGAAAGAAATATCGGAGAAGGTACGCGAAAGACAGGTTTCTGAAAATAATTAAAGACTCTCCTAATTGCAGGCAGCATTCCGAATGCTCGTACCGACGCTTGCTCCAGTCAACATTTTGAGCGAAGGTGCACCTGTCGAACGAATCCATTACCGGCTCGACGGGCGAGCCCCTCCTTCCGTGCTCGTGGCCGACACCTTCGACCGTCCAATCGTTCGTGGACAAAAGTCGACATTCGAGGTTCGACCACGGTCGCGTCCGGCCGCTCGTCGTTCGACGAGGCGGTCGAGATGAGGCGGTCAAACGCTCGTAGCGAATCGTAAATGCCTTTTGGGGGGCAGAGGCCAACCGAGAGGTCAGGTATCGGATGGCTGCTGCGAAACGCTGAGTCATGACGAGAATTTATGGTCACAGCATCATTACTTCGAGTCAGACGAGCGCGACGACACAAGCCGCAGTGCTACCCAATGACTCGGCCGAATCCCATAGAGTGCGTCTCCATATGAAGACCGCCGGTACAAAGGAGATCCCATTCTCATCGAGGCAGTCTTTAAAAGGGGCTAGAAATGGGCAATTGGAGGAGGCCACACCAGAGGACTGCATCTGCGTCTCCAGCACCGGAAGGTTAGAGCTCCGTTCAGGGCCCCTTGCTGTTTAGAAAGTTAAGGTGGAGAAGAAGGGACAACAGAGGAGGTTGGGGGGAGGAGGGGGGTGGGTGGGGGGTGGGGGGAGTCTGAGAATAAACGGATCATTGTTCCTGGCATCCTAATGGATTTTCGGAGCACAGAGATGGTCTGACGAGCGGGCCGAGGACCACACCGACAGTGCGTCTCCTTTCACTGTGCAGGCGATCGCATCGTTTCGCTTCATTGAGCTAAATGCAGACACATGCCGTCGATTGCGTTCTTTACTCTATCTGACTTTCCTGCTAATACAAATTTATAATAAAAAAAGATTACGTTTTGTGGATAGAGTGAAACCAGTGGAGGGGAACTATCGGACGAATATGCGCAATATATAAAAGCAATTAAATCTTAAAAGCATTTCTTGTATTACCTTCGCCAAGGAAATGACTTGTATACCTTTCCGCGTACCAATTTTTTTTTTCAGCGGTCAGAATTAAATTATATTAAAAATTGTCGGACGACAAAAGCGGTAAACAGTAAGTTGCCCTTCATTTTTGGAATTTTTTTAAAAACCAATTAACAGGTTTCATCTCGGAGAAAGAAATTCTCGGCTCAAGTTTAAAATCTCCGCAGCGCATTTTGAAGCCGAAAGGTCAGAAAGAAATTGGGTGGAATATAACGGGCGTGTCCTTTAGAGGTCTTTATTGGTCTTCATTGGCCCTCATTCGCCCTCATTGGCCCTTTTTGGTCCTCATCTTTCCTAATTTAATGCTAGGTCTCTCTTCGCGAGTCATTTAACTCCGTCTTTTCTCATTCAGGGAAAATTGGCTGAAATTGGAAGGTGGACGAGACGGAAGGCGGATGAGGCGAGACGGAAGGCGGATGAGACGAGACGGAAGGCGGGTGAGAAGGCGGTTGCCAGGAGAGGATGCAATTCACAAATACAAGTCGGAAACCCTCGCCGATTTTCAGGTTCCATGCTTTGAATGGTAAACGAGGTGCCAAAAGTATTCATGAAAGAGAAAAAAATTCTGGATTGCAGGAAGTGAGATAGACACAGAGGCATTCGTGACGGTTTGCGATCGTCTTGCGTTATCCGGGAGTTTCCAGCGTCTTCGGACCACCGGCGACATCTATAGAATAGAAGATGAACCGTGTCACCGGTCGAAAAACTTGGAAACCGTTCATGCCTTTCCATCATGGCTTACCTTTGTCTGCGCATTTTCGTGTCTATGCGGTGACTGGATGTTTTTTTTTTTTTCGTCCGCGATAATTCCGCCCGGCAGCCGAAATCCGGATTTTCCCGGATTTTTCCCTTTTGCTCCTGTCGTTCCGGGTCGTAGTGCTTCTGTCGACGCCGTGATTTGTTAACCGCGTTCCATGTCGACCGGGCGTCGTGCCAACCGTATCCCGTGTCAGCCCCATTCTGTGTCTTCGCTCTTCCGGGACTTCTCCGACATCCACTTTATTATTTGCGAAATTCCCGTTCTGCGCCGAAACTCAGGGGAGAACCGGTTTTTCGGCAAATCTGCAAAACGACGAAGGATTTCGAGGAGAATTCACTAAGTCCGTCCTTTGCGTGCCCTTTAACACGCGAAGGGTGACGCTCTGCCCTTTCTTTCCGTATGAAAGAATCCTTTTCGGAAAATAATAAGAATCCTTCAATCAGTTTTGGCAATTTCGTGGCTCGGCAATTGGCTTTATTTCATTTATATATTTTAAATTAATAAGAAGAAATGCTTCGATCAAAAATGATTCCATTTCAAATAGGCAAAAGCTAAACTCGGAGCAGTTTTGAAAATTTTAAAGCATTCGCTGGACGGAATATTTTAATTAATTACCTTTAACAAAACAGCTCATTCAATGCAATACGTTTAAAGCATTCGCGAAGGCGAAACCGACAATCATGTCGACGAAATGATTCTCTCCAAGCATTTTTTTTTAAATTGGCTATGAAAAATTATTTTAGTCGAAGTCCTGTTCCACGAACGTCACCTCGATGTGGTAATGCCGAAAAACAACTTTCGTTTTCTCTATTCAGTCTCTCACATTCCCTCATTTCCGAGTGCAGAAACACTCGGTTCGCCGCTCGTACATCCGCTGCTCGTTGAAGCGGGCGGAGTCTCGTGTTCGGTTTCCTCTATGGATGAAGGGAAGCCGAGAGGTGAGATCTCACCTGACAGCCATGAAGCCACGACAAGAATTGATGGTTCCCCAGACGACATCCCCAGACGACATCCCCAGACGACATCCTCAGACGACATCCTCAGACGACATCCCCAGACGACATCCCCAGACGACATCTCCAGACGACATCTCCAGACGACATCTCCAGACGACATCTCCAGACGACATCTCCAGACGACATCTCCAGACGACATCTCCAGACGACATCTCCAGACGACATCTCCAGACGACATCTCCAGACGACAGGGTCGCTAGGATAAGCGCGGAAAAAATTCCGCCGAACTGGAACAGTGTCGAGCCGGAATGACACCGAAATAGAATACCTCCGACAGGAATAGCGCCGACCGGAATAATGTCAACAAGAAGAACGCCGACCAGGGATAATGTCAAAAAGTCACTTCCCGGATTAAAGGCGAATCGAACTTCCGCCGACTAGAATGACGCCGAAACCGAATGAGAGCGAAAAATGTGAAAAAAATTTTCAGAAAAACGAAGAAAAGTCGAAGGCGGAATAATGCCGAGAGGAAGAGTTCCGAATGGAATAGCGTCGACCCAGAATAGTGTCGAAAACCTTAAGCAGGAAGGGTCCTTAGTTCCTACTACATGGAATAGATGTCGCATGATTCCTGAAGATCATTTTTCCGTCTTTTCCAAGCCTTGCAGCAAATGGAGTATTTCGCTAAGAACAAACGTAAAGCGCGCAAAATTATTTCTATTACTTTTGTCACTTGATATTTTTTTTTTTGCTCGCGAATTGCATGAATCATTCGGGGAATCCGATGTTTTGGACGACGAAGAATGTTTTTGGGCCAAACGGAGTCGAAGGGATCGTTCTGCATCAGCTGTTGGTACTCTTCGCCGTCCTGTTCCGAAGAAGATTCCGTTTGAACTCGAAAAGAATATGCTTCAGGTACCGTCGAGAACAATCAACCAAGGAAATAAAGGGCAAATAAAGGGCAAAGTTATACCTGTGCAAGGAAAAAAAAAACACGGCGTGCTCCTTAGCTTGAGCTGTGCTTTCTCCGACGAGTATTTTATTGCGTGTCTTCACTTGGAACTTTTTTTTTGCCCTCTGAGAAAAAAAAGAAAGAATGACAAAAACGAAGAATGAAGAAACGGAGCGCGCGAAGCAATGTAAGTATAAGGATTTTGAGCTTCGATGACAAAGATGCATCCGGTGCAGTTCCTAGATTTTATTTTCGGCGCTGTTCCAGTCGGTGTCGTTCCAGTTCGACCTCGTTCCTTTCGGT